GGCACTTGTTCTTCCATCGATGATAAACATCACAGTCTTAGAGTAAGACTCGTGTTAATTACATTTTTCTTGACTAATACTTGTTTTTTTAAATATTCCGACTCGTCCAGAGGATCCTGTGACGTTCTGTTTCATCCTCGTGTCTTTCTCAGCATTTCACTGAACACATTTGGAAGCCAGGGCTCTGTGAGTCTGTCCAAAGCCGTGATGTCTCTGAAGAACCTCAGCAAGATCCAGTAAGACTCACAGAGACTTTTGAACAGCAGTTTATTCACCAGACTGACTGAGCTCTCCTCTCTGCTCCACGCTCTTAGATTGGTGGCTGTTGGGACTCCAGACCTGTGTCCTGTTGTGTCCAGTCTGAGACACTGTCTCCTCATAGAGGACGTGGGGTAAGGTCTGAAACTGAAAAGACGACAATGAATGACGTCTTCTGTAGTACGACAGCAGAACCACAAGTGTTAAAAATTGTTATTTTAGTGTTTATTTTGTTTTGTATTGTTTAGAGAAAATTTTTGTTTGAGTCTAAAGTGTTCCTACATTTTATACTTGATGTCAGTGTTAATTTAGTTGTTTTGTTTTTGACATCTCTCTCTCTCTCTAGTCTGGGCTGGAATAACTGTGGAGATGAAGTGGCTCTGGAGTTGGTCAAAGTTCTCTCCGTGTGTCACAAACTGAGCAGGATCGAGTAAGTCTGCTGAATAAGTCTGTTCATTACACACGTATTTGTTTCAAAACCTTTTAAAAACCTAAACTCTGTGTCATGTTTTCAGTCTGGAGTCCAACTGTGTGACGGTCTCTGGAGTTAAAGCCTTGTTAAAAGTCATACTCTGGCATCCTGCTCTGCAGCTGATCAGGTAAGCTGTAGTTCACAGCTGTATTTTCACCAGGCAGACCTAGAGACAGAGGCCAACTGTAGGTAACAGTTCATCTACAATGCCATTGTTGTTACTTTGCTGTTAGCAAGCAAGTTAAAAACGTAGCAGCCTGTGTAAAATCAGTTACACAGGCCGTCTTATCAGTCGTCCTTTTTGAAATACTGGTGGGACGTTTCTTATCAGCCGTCCTTTTTGAAATACTGGTGGGACGTATCAGTCGACATGTTTTTAAGCAGTCGTACATATGGTCCATTGCAGGCGGCTGATGGGCCAGATGTGGCTCAGGAGCCACAGGTTGTACACCCCTGCTTTGAGGTGACCTCTGCCTCTAAAGGGCAGCAGAGAAGATACTGTAGTTGTTGGGTACATGTTTTTTTTCATTTTTATGGATGTTGGGGCAGCAGAGAAGATACTGTAGTTGCTGGGTTCATGTTTTTTTTCATTTTTATGGATGTTGTGATGGAAGCGGAAATGAAGATGGTTGGTTCAAAAGTGGAGGAAGGGTGAGAAAGGGTGAGACATGGGCAGATGATCCACAGCAGTGACCTGTGAAGGGAACAGCCTCAGAAGAAGATGCTTTTTTTTTACAGCAGGAGGCCAAGACTGAGGTTAAATGTCAGTTTCTGTCTGGTCGTTAACCGACATGTGAGATTTTACCAGTTAAACCTGTTACAATGACTGATTGACGATGTATTTAATACGCAACAATGCCACGACTTCTTTAGGCTCTGGAGGAACAAGATCTCTTCTAAAGAAGGTTCGATGCTGACTCTCAGAGACCGGAGGCTGAATTTTTCATCTACATAGAGGAGGAGGCGTGTTGACGTAAGGTGAGGGAGGGGCTGCCAGCAGAGGGCAGAACCTTCCAACACTGCCACAGTACAGATTTGATTCATGTGATTCAGTCAGTGATTCTCTTCAGCAGTAGGTAACGCTGACCTCTAGTGTAAGGTCATTCAGTGTTTGACCTGGACCACGACACTCAGCTGACTCTACTGCTTCAGACCAGTAGACAAAACGTCGCACAGACGCCACAGAGTCTTCCAGCTTTTTAGTTTTACTAATATTAGAAGCAATAAATGAGTGGGTCGGGGGAACAACGGCAGCTTAGAGCACCACCGTGTGGTGAAGTGATTGTACATGGGGTTTGTTTGTGTTTTTTACTTGTGTTTCACTTGGGCTTTTTTATTAATATTTCACAGTTTGACTTTGCACTGACTGAATTTTTAGTTTCACAGTAGTTAATGTGAATGTTTCTGTAGAATTTTCTAAAGAGAGGAGGAAACTATGGATGTGATTGTTGATACGAGGCGTGTGTTCACTCAGTATTCAGAGTTGATAAAATATTGTTTTTATCTTAATAACAAGCACTAGTGAAACTAAAGGCCTTGATATAAATATTCCTTAATTTTATTTTATTTATTTTAGTTTTGAGGGAGTTTCCTGTGAGACAGGAAGTGAAGCAGTTTGCACTATCAACATTCCAAATGAGTGAGAACAATAATCCAACCAATCACACTTAAATGGCCTATGTGTGATATCAGTGACACCTACCGGTGAAAGAGCAGATAACTATAGTAGACAAAATTATTTATTTTTTCACAATATGTAGGTTTGGTGACACAAGTTGAATGGCAAAGATATGGGAGTCAAAAATACCATCAGAATGGAAAGTTTTATTTAAGATAGCAACAAATGTTTTCACTGGCTGTATAGAGCTTCCACATATAGTTAAGAATTAACTGAATGAAACAAGTTTCATTTATTTCCACATTTTTATTTCCGATACTTAACCTTAGTCATTTGAATGCACTGGGTATTTATGTCGCTGTAGCTTGTGGTCTCAATTCAAAATCACGTATTTATAGTGATGTGGTTATTTAAGGTTTATTTTATTTTATTTTATTTTTAATTTATTCCTGTGTTGTTTGCTGAATAGATAATCTTTCACTTCTTTCATTTCAAAGCAAAACTCTGCAGGAATAAAAGGTAATGTTTCTGACGTGAATGTCTGTGGTTGAAGTTTGAGTTCTCATGTAACAGACGTTGTTCCTGTCCTGGAGCTTCTGTCAATTCTGACTTGCACTATGATGTCCAATAATATTTGTTACTTACTTACTTGTGTACAGCTGATGTATTTACTTGACTTGTCCTGTCCTTGATTTTATGTCTGTGCTAGTACTTTTACACCAAAATGTGTACTACACAGTATAGATGCAGTGAAACTCGGGTTATCTTTTTTAGCTTTACTGTATGTTAACGATTTTGGCCTAGTGGAGTGCCATGCCAGTCATTCATTTGTATCTGGCGCCCTCTTGTGGTAAAAATAGACGGTACTTTGAAATAATAGGTACAGTAAGAATAACAAAGTGTATAATTTGGTTAAATAGGACAAAATAATAACCTTTTCTCGTATACATTTAGGGACGTACAAAACTGAGACAACGAGAACAAAAAAGCAAAAATTAGGAAGTAATAAAATTAAAACTACTCAAATGATAATAAAGATGATTAATAAAAAATCGAATATTAGTTATTAATATTATTAAACATAAACTGTCAGCAATAACTTTTCTGAATTGCAGTTAAATAAATAAGGCTTGGTAGAATATTCGTTATTAATATTATTAAACATAATCATAAACTGTCAGCAATAACTTTTCTAAATTGCAGTTAAATAAATAAGGCTTGGTTGACGTACCTGTGTTCATCACAAGAGGGTGCTGTTGGAACAGCATCGCTTCTCTGATTCAACGCTTTTTTTATCATTATAAGATAAATTCCAAATTGTCTTTGTTTTGTTCTCTTTATTTATTTATTTTTTTCATTTTTCATGTTGCTTTTGTTTTGTTGTTGCTTTTCAGGGATTCGTTAAATATTTTTCGGTGACGGGTTTGTACCGCCACACAATAAAAGCATTGCATCGATACAGGTGCGGATCGTTTACGTATTTTTTTTTTTAATATTTACTCTCTAATTTAAACTCTGTTCTAAAATTTGTAATAATTTGCCTCAATAAAACAGCGCTGTGTGTGTTGTACGGTGGAATTAATACAAAACGGAAGTCCTCTGGAGACGGGTTGATCTGAAGCTTTCATTTTCTAGTGCAACCCTTCCATTTCCGGTTAGAACGTAGTCCCTTTAGCTTGACGCGCAGTGATTCTGCGGGGTAAAACGTAGTGCGGCTCTGCGAGGATGATCACACTGTTGCGCTTTCTAGAAGAAATGGCAACCGCGGTCACGTATTTCATTTCATCGTCAAAAATATTTTTTTGAATTAACATTTTTTTAAAAATAATATACTTTTCTCTCAATTTTCACTCCTGGGGACTTGGTGTCGAGTGAAGAAAGTGTTGAGCCGAGGAGCGGTGAAGTCAGGTGCCGGAGGTGAGTGTGGGATTAGTTTGTGTTTTTGTTTTTTTTAGCGCCTAAACGCTCATTGATTTGACAGTTAACTGGTTAATTATTATTATTATTATTTTAATGTGAAATGTTAAATGACTCTGACATCCTGCTGTGACGTGTTTCGTTTGGGTAAAAGAGACAAATGTCGGGAGAACGATTAATCATTTTGATGGTTACGAACGGTTGAATGTTGATTTGTGGACACGGCGGTGAGAAGACGGCGGTTTTAATGTTGACTGTGGTGAAGTGGAGTCTGAACCCACGGCGGTGTCACCGGTGGTCGAGTCCGCGTCCCTGTGGTGTGTGCAGGTCTAATTATGTTAAAAAAAATCCCAAACTTATCGATATCGATCAGTTTAAGGCTCGTTTTATTGGGTCGTAGTACAAGTCAACATTAGGGCAACATTACATTCATTATTAATTTGTTTTATTAATTAATTACAAAATAATCGAGCCACAGTCCCCCCCCCCTTTACCCAAACCCCAACCACCACCACCTCATGGTAAGCAGAAATACTTTGTAAAATGTCTACTTTTTTTGTATTTGTCTCTGTTTTTATGTCATTTTTCTGCTTTTTATCACCATTATGTTTGTACATAATTTGGTCATTCCATTGGTTGAAATGCAGCCCTAGACCATTACAGAGCCTCTCTAGTCTCTACTCCTTTTTTTGTATTTGTATTTATCTTTATTTGTTACGTAGTGACCATGTACATTAATGAACATAAAATTGTAGCTAAATTGTAGCCAAATGGCTAATTTCCATTGGCAGTTTCCCTGCCAGAAGGAGCAATGTAGCATGATAGCGAGACAACAATTTACAGGACAGGTACGATATTTTAAAAGGTCTAATTAAAATACAAGACATAATTTTAATAATTTTATTTGTTTAATGTGAGAAATTACAGAGTAGAAACAGAATAAAACTCCAGGGCAGCGAGGTGTTACAGTCAGTCCATAAAAACTATCCATGAAATTTTTTTTTTCATGTTCAATTAACGCCGATGGCTAATTACTGTTTACAGTCCACGCTTCTGTTCTGTGAGTTTTGCATGACCGTGGCAGACAGGACGTGTAATTTGACATAATGACTGTCTGCAGCACAGTCTTCACACTGCTATTACCAGAGTTGGTCTCTTTCAGCACTCCCTCTCCAGCCCCGACAGCCCGCAGAGCAGATCAGTCGCAGCAGGTCTGCAGCTAATGCTCAGGTTTGGGTCACTCTGGAAAATTTGAGTCATTTAAACGGCGGTGATGAACGACCGCCTCATCGGAAAAACAGTCGTCACAGAGCTTTGTCTGAAGGATGAGAGACTGGAGGTAAACAGTGGTCAGACGGTCCAACGACAGCCTGAACTTCATCAACCCTCTCAGATCCATCAGCTCACAGCTGGTACCAGTTCCTGGTTTCCACTGGTAGATAGATCGTTTTTTAATCAGACTTTTCCATCTTCTGTTTGTATACAGTATATTTTTCTTTAAAAAATACTTTTTTTTGTCTGATTCTGCTCCCTTGCTTGAAAGTGAAAATGCATACAGTCAGATTCACTGGTGAGAACACACTGGTGTGAACAGACAGTCCTTCAAGGTGGCAGCGATGATACGGTTCTGAACACACGGAGCAAATGTGTGTAATTGTTGTGTTACAGTCGCAAATGTTGTCCAGACTCCGGCTGACACTGAGACTGTGATTCAGTCAGAAATCTGCTGCACGGACGACTGAATGAAGGGTTTGTCTTCATCATCACCATCATCATCATCATCATCATCGTTATCACTACTACCAGACCAGTGTGACATCACAGGACCAGAGCGGCAGAAACACGCTGCTTATAACACATTAGTATCTTAGCAACAGTCAACATCATTCTCAGAAAAAAAAAAAAAACCTGCACACACTCACACTCCTGCTGCAGCCGATGATGATGATGATGATGAAGAAGATGATGATGATGCTGCTGCAGGATTAATGATGAGCACTTAATGCTTTAAGAAAATATTCAAATTAAAAAATGAGAAGCTGAATTATAATTTTATGGAGGTAATAATGATGTTAGAGATTCTGACACAGCTTCAGTCTGAAGCCATGACATCTGGTGTGTGTGTGTGTGTGGAACAACATGTGCTTGTGTTGATTTTTTTTATTTTTCTACAGTTTTGAGAACTTGGTTTGGTTTGAATAAATGTGAGGCTCCATCTTTCCTCACAGAGGTTACGACCTCCTCATCTTCATCACCTCGGGGGAAGTGCGTGAATCTGGCGTTGAACCAGCAGCTGCTCGCATGTCTGGAATGTTCTCAAAGTTCTCAAAGTTCTGGAGCGCTCGACCGGTGTGGGTCAGGGACGTGGGCGACATTTAGCTACTTCTCTGCTGTACTTCATCGCTGTTCTTTCCCGCAGGGTGATCAGCGCTGACCTCACACCATGGCCTACACTCTGGGCTCCGCCACCGACGCTCAGAAGTCGCGCAGCGTCGGACCGCAGCACTGCGTCACGCGGGTGGAGCTATCCGTCACCGCCAACAGCCTCCTGGATCGAGACGTGGCCTCAAAGTCGGATCCCTTCTGTGTCCTCTTCCACGAGGTGGATGGCAACTGGGTGGAGGTGAGGACGGGGGGGGACAGATGTCTTTCCTTTTCTTTTTAAAAGTTTTAAAGTCAAACCTGGGTTTTGACACCAGCTGGTATCAAAGCTGGAGCCTCCTAGTGGCTGGCAGTTGTTCTACAACATTACCACTCTATGCCCATAGAGTTTATGCCCATAGAGTCTTTCTACTTTCAAAATGTATCAAGCAGGCCAGATTGAACCTTCTAATGGGCCGGTTTGGGCCCGCAGGCCATATGTTTGACTCCACTTGTCTAAACGCAAGGCTGCGTAAGCGCTATAGCTCCAGGATCTGGGTGTGTATCCTGGATTGGTCTAACCACAGCCCCTTCCTAAAGGAGAATCTGCTCTAGAGTGCCCCCTACTTTTTAACGGCTGACAAACCTCCTGGATCCAGATGTGCCCTCCACGACCGACCCATCTGTGCTGTTTGTTGTTAGGTTGATGGAGAGACACAGATTTGCGGTAAATGCTACCACCGAAGAAGACGACGACGACGAACACAGACGTCAAACATCGACGTTGTTTCTCTACCGCTCTTTTCTTCTTCTTCTTCTTCTTCTTCTTCTCTTCTTCACTGCGTGGCAACACCAGAGACGTGTAGAGAAGATGATGATGAAAGAGAGACAGAAATAAAAAGACGACTCAGGGGAGGAGGCAGGATTGAAAATAAGTATCTTTGGAGGTCAGACTCAGCGAGCTGGGTGTTCAGCAGAGGAACACATGAAAGGACTGTGTTTGCTGTCTGTGTCGGTCTGCAGCCCACCCGCCTCTGTGTGTGTGCGTGTGTGATTGTGAGTCAGATCCAAACTCACCAGGTCTTGACCATCTGGCTGCAGGCCTGCGCTGCTAAGAGCCCAGTGGGGAGTTGAAGGATTTGTCGGATTTGTAGAACTGTTAAAAGGACCGAGAAAAAAAAAAAAAAAGAAGAAGGGAGTAAATACAGTACAGTCGGTTCTGTTCTCTGTGTTGTAAACATTCATTAATTTAAACATGAATGCATTGGAATTTACACCAAGTGACTAACAACCCCCTCTTAATGTTAACTCTTACATACACTTAATTTCCGATTCCGATATCAACTGATACCAATATACGCAGCCGTTTTCCCCCAAAACTACCGTAAACATCTCCGGACTTCACAAGCGATTCCAGCATATTTGGCGAAACCCTGACATTGCGTTATCAGGTTAACAAAAACAATAACAGTTCTTACAGTTATTACATATTTATGCAAATATTGCGCTGATAATATTGGACATCCGTAATTGTAATATTAGAATAGAAAAATTGGACCTTTATATAATTACATGAAGTTTTTGAAATTGAACGCAATTTCTTTTTGCTTTGTTACCACTGAGAGTTAAAAAAAAAAGAAGAAATTTCAACAATATTTTCGACCAACAAGTCCTTTAATGCCGGCTCGTCTTTCCTCGTTGTTGACCAAATGTTTCTGCGTATTAAGAATTAAATTTATCTTGTTCGTCATCTTCTGCTTCACAAACGAACTTTAGGTGCAATACCTCCACCTATGGGCTGGAGGGTGAAATGTGATATATATTTTTAATGAAGTCCAAGCCTTAAATTTGAACTGAGTTGCAGTTAAACTTCATGGCGTTGTTTGATTTGATCATAAACCTGAGCCGCTGTATTCAGGGGAGCCAGAGGTTGGACAACCGTGAGTTCAGTCTGGACTACAACACAACACATGAACGTGTGTGTGGTGCTGACGCAGGAGAGGGATGTGGTGATGTGTGTGTGTGTGTGTGTGTGTGTGTGTGGGCAGCTGCCTCCAGGCTCCTCTGCAGCAAACAGCTGGTCAACAGGGCACGCTGGCTTTTGTGTGCGTGTGTGTGTGCGCTTGTGTGTAGGCGAGCCAGTCGGGTTGTAGCTCGCTGTCGGTCAGCAGGGCATGTGGCTATGATGTGAAATTGCAGATGGTTTCCAAGGCAACGGGGAGGGAAACAAAAAAGCTTAGCGCTCCCGGAGTGAGTCGAACGGTGGAGGAGGCGAAAAAAACCAGGCCCCCGAAAAAAAACACACTTTTCTTGGATTCGATCCATGACGCGCCGATGCTCTCGATCACTCCGCTCAGCTTTTCTCACTTCCTCCACTTTCTCCCTCCTGTTTCCCTGTGGTTTCCTTTTTCTTTCTTCTTCGTCTGATTGTTTTTCTCCGTCTTCCCGTCTTTCGCTCCATCTTCACGTCTCTTGTGAGATGGAGGTGTAAGAAGCAGCTGAGGCCATCGGGGGGAGTGAATGGGGAGAGGGTGAGAGAGGGAGAACAGAGTGATGGGAGGGTGAGGGTGAGAGAGGGAATCAAAGAGCACGGGTAAGACGGAGACTGAAGGGAGACCTGAACGGACCTCTGGTTGATGTTTCTGTCTCTCTAAAGTGAGAGAACTCTAACGCTGATCTGAACACGTGCACACACACACGTGCACGCCTGCGGCCCCACAAGTGAGAAGTCAAAAACTGAGTGAGATTTCAGCACAAACAGTGGGGAGGCTGGAGTCAGTGGAGCTGCTGAAGCTGTGACAACATTTGCTGCTTCACTTTAGAACAATGAACAAATGAGGAGTCATTTGAATGATCTCCTCCTCTTCCTCCTCCTCTGTTTTCTTTCTTTCTTTTCATTTTCCTTTTCTCAAATTCCTCTCATTTCATTTTTCATATTTTTGCTTTTCCTTTATTTTTTTTTACAGTTTTTTTACACCTGCTGTTAATAAAGCGTTATTTTAAAAATCCCAAATCTTCTTCTTCTTCTTCTTCTTCAACCATCATCAGATCTTCAGCCTCCGTCCCACTCCATCTCTGCTCCATCTTCTTCAAAGATACAAACCATCCTGTGACCAATTACTGAGTATACTTTACAGCAGGGGTTCCCATCCCCTGGTCCGTGGACCTGTACTGGTTCGTGGGTCATTTGATGGCCAGGTGACAGGGAAATAATTCATAATTTACTTCAGTTAAAGAGAATCTGGTCATTTCCATTTAGTTTCTTTAGTTAAAAATGTCGGAAATTTTCAAAATAATACGTCTTTCCGACTCCAAAACGCAGAGAACGAAGACTAAAAAATGTTTAATTGTGAAAATCCTTCATATCAAAACCATTTTTATACTGAAAGAATGAAGTTTGTGATTGTTGTTTTTGTTTGTTTTTTTAACCCACTTCCTGTGTCTCTCAGTTGGGTCGCACTGAAACGGCCGTCAACAACTTGAACCCAGTGTTTGGAAAGAAGTTCCAGGTGGACTACCACTTTGAGGAGATCCAGAAGCTCCGGTTCGCCATGTTCGATGAGGACAAGTGCGCAACGCAGCTGTACGAGCACGACTTCCTGGGGGAGTTCATCTGTACGCTCGGAGTGGTATGAGATGATTGTTGTTGTTTTTGTTTCTCCTTATATTCCTGAATTATTAAAATTCAGATTTGAAGGATTAATTCAGAGGTGGAGAAATATTGGCTTTGCTTTATCGCCTGTTTTCCTCTAAATAGGACCACACTTTTAACTCCTTTATAAATACTTTACGCCTGTGCTTTTAAGTCCAACAAGTTGTTCAGGTTTGGAGAATAAGTGTCCGTCCAACCAACGAAGAATTTTAACAGTTCTGTTCTTCAACCAGATTGTGTCCAACAAAAAGCTTCACAGACCATTGATCCTGGCCAATGGGAAGCCAGCTGGTAAAGGCTCCATCATGGTACGTACTGACTGCTTGACTGTTTACAGCTGCTGTTTTGTTTTTTGTTTTGTTTTTTTTACCTTCATCACAGATTACTGTTGTTGTGGTTACAGCCTGTTGTTATGGTTACAGCCTGTTGTTGTGGTTACAGCCTGTTGTTGTGGTTACAGCCTGTTGTTGGTGACATTGTCCAGGCTGTGAATGCTAATCATTCCCTGTGTTTTTTAACTGCCGTTCTGTGTGTGTTACTGCAGATAACGGCCCAGGAGCTGTCTGACAACAGAATCATCACACTGACCCTGAGTGGGCGTAAACTAGACAAGAAGGTGGGCAGTTATCACAGCACCTGATGGTCTGATGGTGATGTCAGCGTTCGGATTTAGAAACTGACGTGTGGTTGTTGTTGTTGTTGTTGTTGGTTTTTTTTCCTACAGGACTTTTTCGGGAAGTCTGATCCCTACCTGGAGTTCCATAAACAGGAAACAGAAGACGGTAAATGGATGTTGGTGCACAGGACAGAGGTGAGTCCTGGGGTCAGGGGTCACCGTTGTTGACACCTGCAGCTGTCATACACTGAATAAATGTGTTCAGAGAAGTGGACGTGACGGATGGATGGATGGATGGATGAGTAAATAAAGGACTGCTCCTCCGTCCTCTCTGTCTCTCTGTAACTCCAGGTCATAAAGAACACCCTGGACCCGTCATGGAAACCTTTCACTGTTCCTCTGATTTCTCTCTGCAACGGAGACGTGGACAAAAACATCAAGGTTGGTGTCTTTGACATTTGACTGACTCACTGACTATTGTTACAAAGCTACTTCAACTTCCACATTGGCTACTTGTACTTACTAGTACACACCAGTATGTCAGGTCCACATCAAGAACTTGACCTTCTGTTTAAAAAAAAAAAAAATCTAATAGAAAATATAAGCACACAGAGTGAAGCGTCTCCCTCTCTGACAGGTTCTGTGTTACGACTATGACAACGACGGCGGTCACGACTTCATCGGCGAGTTCCAAACCACGGTTTCCAAGATGAGTGAAGCCCAGAACTCAGTGGAGGTGAGAGCTGGTTTGTTTACATGTTTTTTAGAACTAAATGTTGATGCTTTGGTACCATCTCTAAAAAGAATGTCTGACTTTTCGACATAGACCCAGGCATCGCGTTATTGGGTTTTCATTTTTGGAGGAAAAACAGATACAGGTTCTTACAGATATTATTTTATAATTATGCTAATATCAGGCCAATAAATCGGGCGTCTGTGTTTCCCGTCTTCTGCTGGAGTCGTACCTCCTGTCTTATCAGGATTCGTTTTGTTAAAGATGCAGGGATCGCAGTAGCAGAGGTTTTATTCCGCAGCCGCTCCGTCTGTGTTTGGCGGTGGCACGTGCATCAGTGCATGTGTTCATCTGTGAAACGGCAGGAGAGCGTGTGCCAGAGCAGCCTCCTGACTCCTTCACAGTCTCTTCATGTGTGGTAATGATGTGAAGGGTGACACAAAAATAACGAGCAGGAGGAGAAGGAAAAAAAAACAAAACACAACGACGACGACGAAGGAGAGATGGGGGATGGAGGAGAGAGCGAGAGGCAGAGAGAGTGTGAGGAGTAAAGATAGGACGAGGGAGAGAGGGAAAAAAACAGAGACTTTTGAGATGTAAAACAGCCTTTAGCTGAGGAATGGGAACACGACAAGACATTTAGAGTTACCTGTCACATGAGTCACCGGCTGACTTAGTCATGGCAGACCGTGTGTGTGTGTGTGTGTGTGTGTTGCTTGATTCCTATCTAAGTGCATTTTTGTTGAATTTAAATACACTTTTGTTTTCTCCTTTTCTTTTCCCTCATCCTTTCTGCACAAATGATTCAAAAAATAAATATTTAAAATAAAACCTGAATCCAAGTCATGCCGTTCAGTCGACGGTTCAAATCCCAGCTCCAGTTTTTTTTCATCACTTTCTTTTCTGATTCCGAACCTTTCTTCCCGTCTCTCTTCTTCAGGTGGAGTTCGACTGCATCAACCCCAAAAAACAGAAGAAGAAAAAGAATTATAAAAACTCGGGAGTCATCATCGTCAAGTCGTGTAAGGTGAGGAAGAGGACTTGAGGATTTGAGCGAGGAGCTAAAAATATTTTTCCGTCTCCGAAAGAACTCTCAACAGAAGCGACTTCGCAGTAAATCTGCTGTGAATTCTGTCAACGTGGAGACAGACAACAGCTACTGACAGAGATCCCCATAATTCTCAGTCCGTCTGTCAGGGACCGCGGCCCCCGGCGCCGTGGAACGCTTACTTTAGTTTCACTGAGTTTCACTCAAACAAAAAAAGAACAAAAAGCCACTGTATGAGTTCCTGGCACCAACATTCTACAGACAATCCCCTGACTATCAAAATAGATTAATAAAATGAGCTGCAATGCTGCCATCTAGTGGCTTTCACCGTCATCTACAGCAGTTTTTCACCAAAACTATTTTTAGGGCACACATCATTTGGCAAAACCTGGGCATTGCGTTATCGGGTTTTCATTATCAGAGGAAATAACGATTCTCACAGATATTACGTAATTATGCTAACATCGGCCGATCATATTCATCGTAGTAATTTAATATTGAAATATTTAAGTTTAATTTAACCAAAATGCTTCATTAATATTTACTGATTAATTGCAGACACAAAACTATAAAAATATACATAACATGAAGTTACTCTGAAGCGGAGTATTTATTAAATATCTGTTGGATTATTTACTTGTCTACTTTTGATAATTCCTGTGATGTTTTTATGATTAAACTCATTCTGACCTGTGGCTTCCACAGATTACCAGAGATTACACCTTTCTGGATTACATTCTGGGAGGATGCCAACTCATGTTTACTGTGAGTATTAAATCATTCTCTGTCTTCGTCGCCTGTTGTTTACATTTACGTACAGAGAGTGGGCTGAGAGAGCAGTGACCTCTACATCTGGGCTGCTCGTCCTATTGTTAGCTCTAATCTCTCCACCGCACAAAGCCTTCTTCTCTCTAAAGGTCTGGGGGGGGGGTTTAAGAACTCTTGTGTGGTCCGTGGAGGAGCCGCACTCCGATCTTTTGTTTCTCAGAGAGGCGGTGTAATGTCAGAGGACAGCGCTGATGAATCCTTCGTTAGATTCAGGGATTGGTTTCTTCACATTATCTTACTGTTGAAATGGACGATTAAAGATTCATTGTTGCCGACGTGACGCTTTGTGCTGTTGATTAAAACGTTTTGTACCTCGATGAGTTTAATGGACGACAAAGGATTGAAGTGTTTATTTGTCACATGGTCAGTTAAACACGTAGAATTGCAGTAAAACATTCATTGTTGGACCTGAGAGTGTATTCAACAATTAAAACCAGGTAAAAAAAAAAGGAGAATAAATACAATGAAATTATTGATTAGCTGCAAATAATTTTAGGAAGAACACAAAATAGTCAAAGAGTGGCAACAGATAAAAACTAGGTGAAGAAGGGAAGACGTAGAGAGCGGTTGAGTCTTTCTTCAATTCCTGTGAGTTTATCAGTGCTGTGTTCAACTAAACAGGCTGTGTAGGTAAATTGAAATTAGAGAATCATCATTAGAGAATCTTTTTTGTATATTTTCTTTTTGTTTGTTTGATGATGCAGCATGGGGTTACATGGTTATGTAGAGGGCAACTGGACCGTAGTTTCTTGAAAACCTCAGTGAAATCTCACTGAAGACGAGAGGTGAAAAATGAAAATGAACTTCTTTTTTTTAGTGTCTCTTCGTGCGTTTGTCTTCCCAGCGAAGACTGATTAGACTTGACTGTCATGTGAATTGTGATAGTAGGAGGAATTAAAATAAAAAAACAAAACAAAAACCCAACAACACAAGGTTTGAAACGTGATTGATATTGAAAACAGCTAATTAGCAGAGCGTTGGCTCAACTGTTGCTCAGTGGGAAACTCATTTCCTCTGCGTCGTAAACACGGTTAACAAACAGCACACAGTGACAGACCTGCACACTGGCTGATAACAGCTGTCATTCAGACGCACTCTTCGACACACTGCCTCACACCCCCTGCTGGGGCTTTGTGTTAAAAGCACTCATAAACAGACCAGGATTCACGTGAAGAGACACCAGATTGTTGTTTCCAGTACAGTGTTCTAATCCTTGACTCTTACATCCCCCAGAACACGCTACAGTTTTTTATTGTTAACTGTTAATGTTGGAAGCATTTTAACTCAGGTGTGTCAAACTACAGACAACCTCGTTAGATGTCAAGTGGGCGGGGCCATCATAACATAACTAAACATGTTTTCATGCAAAGAAATACAAGTATACGTTTTCCTTTTTTGTTTTCATGCAAAGAAATACAAGTATATTAGATATTTATTATTATTTATTAATATTGAATGGAATATCATTTTACCAAAAATATCCTGAACACGAAGTTGAATCTTTTTATTTTCAAAATTCACTAAGCGGCCCGGACAGTACACCGTAGCGGGCCAGTTTTGGCACACGGGCCTTATGACAGTGTTGCCCAAACACACATACACACATAAACTCAAACCCCAACCCAAGCTTTTCCTCTTGAAATCCTGAAAATGGTACCTTCTCCAAACTAGCTTTAGCATCAACGCAAATAAAATATCGTCCTGAAGCACCTTCTCAGGTGACGCTACACACACACACACATGATCTCACAGAGATGCTGGATGATGAAAGCATATCTCTCTCTCTCTCTCTCTCTTTCTCACACACACACTCACACACACACACTATTAAAACAGCAGTGTAGAGAAAAAAAAAGCGCAGCAGAAAAGAGCAGTTTTATGCTGTTCCATCAGACTTAGCAGATACTCTAATCCTAATCTCCTCCAAGAGGAAGATTCAGGGCTGAGGAAGCTGAGAGGGAGAGGGAGCAGTGTTTATGTCTCACTTCCACTCTGCAGCACAAAGAAACAGGCAGAAAGAATCAGTCACTCAAATGTGATACATTTGATATTGTATGTGAATATATCCTGGATATAAAGGCTACGTAGTGTAGCGACACCAGCACATGATGTTGTTTATCCTGCGTCTGTGGGGGTTTCTTATTGGTTTTGGAAAAACATAAAATAAAAGGTTCTGTTTTGGAAAATATATATTTTTTATTTTTAATGTCGTCAACTGACAGTACTGTACCTCTGACTTGAATTTAAGAGGTTTTACTTAGTATTAAAATAAAATCAAATTAGGTCAAAATAAATTAATAAGCTGTAACTGACATATATGTGTATATATGTATTTTCTGACTTGAATTCAAGACGTTTTACTTAGTATTAAAATAAAATTTAGATCAAAATAAATTAATACGCTATAACTGACATATATGTGTATATATGTATATATACATATATAATATTTATTTTTATTGTGTGAATAGCCTCAGATGCTAAAATGATATACTGTATCTTTTTTGCTACCTGTTAGCTATAAGGAAGTTTATGATTGTTTAATAATTGGCTAATTGCTAACATAATTTTGGAACATCTCATTTCATCTTCATCTAAATTTGGCAATTTAGCTCCAATATATAAATGAAATATATACATTTGGACTTTGTAGAAGTTATCTTGTTTTTTTTTAAACTTGTAATCAGTCTTTTGCTGGTGTAATCGACGGTGCCTTAATATGTATTTACTTTATTATTATTGACTTTATAGTACTAGTAAAATGTGGATTCAGGAGTCGGAGCGTTTGGTACCAGTTCAGATCCTGTCGGTGACACACATTCAGCAGCTTCTGCATCTTTTTTTGTCTTCTTCCTTCTGATGTTGTTCAGCAGAAGGAAAGAGACAAAACTGCCCGTGGCTGCAAATAAATACAGACAAAATCTGCTCAAGATTAAAAAGAAGAAAAAAAAAAGATAAGAAAGAAGAGAGAGGAAGTTTCTGGGTCGACTCTTTGTCACACCACAGCTCTCCACTGGACGCCTGAGGACGAGACGTCAGATTTAATCTCCTATTATCTTAGACTTTGTGTCTGTGTGTATGTGTGTGTGTGTTCACACATGTGCAACTTTTTGCCCAGTGTGAAGGAGCGTATGTTGTTATAGTGTCACCCTGTGGTCATCTGTGTTAAAAATACTCCAGTTCTTCTGTGAAATCATTTTAATCTGAGATGAAAACAAGTTACAGAATTTAAGTATAGTATATTATATATTATAATATATTAGTACTATGTATACATATACATATTTAGCTATATCATATATATATATAAATATATATGTGTGTGTGTTTATATGTACTGGTTACTTGAGTCTTTAAGGGACGATATCCAGAAAAAAAAGTCATCATTATCCATGTAAACAAGAACAGGTGTGAACATTAACTTAGGAAACAGGAAACAGGAAACGACAGCGGCTCCATGGTTCAACTCGTTAGCCAATAAATTCAGTCAAGTTGTGTTGGTCTGTACCGGCCGCCAACAGGCAGACAGTGACATATGGTATGACTGAACTGAAGCCTCATAGTCAGCATTGACTTCAGCCAAAGAACCCACTTACATTAAACAAGTCATTGTGTTGATTACCCATAATTCATTAGAAACGTATGCTGCAAATTTCAAAAAAACATAAATCATTAGAAACGTATGCTGCAAATTTCAAACTGATCCTCAAACTTCTCTCCATTTCTACAGGTGGGAATCGACTTCACGGCGTCCAATGGAAACCCTCGAGAGCCGTCCTCCCTCCATTACATCAACCCACTGGGCAGTAACGAGTATCTGGCTGCCATCTTGGCTGTGGGCCAGATCATACAGGACTACGACACGTGAGTTTGGGACACACGGCCACTTGGCTTTGTGTTTTTTTATTTATTTTTATCACATTAGAAATACATGTCTTCAGTCGTCTACATCAAGGGTGTCAAACATACGGCCCGCAGGCCAAAAACTGGCCCGCTGAGGTGTTGAAGCCGGCCCACTTGATGAGTTTTGAAAATAAGAAAAATACACAAACACTTCATGTTCAGGATAGTTTTTGTAAAATTATATTTCATTAAATAACAATAAATATCTAATCTACTTATTTACATAAAATCAAAGGGGAAAAACATGGACTTCTTCAAAATCCACTTCTTTGAAATTGTGTTTGAAAAAAAAAAAGATACAACAAGGTTTAACTTAATGCTCAAATCTGTTGTCATGGTTTCCTCCACAGCGACAAAATGTTTCCTGCTCTGGGATTTGGAGCTCAACTCCCACCAGACTGGAAGGTATATATTTGTGTGTGTGTGAGAGAGAGAGAGAGAGAGAGAGAGATTCAAAGTGGTGTCATTTGTTAGCCTCATATTGTACATATATATTTCAGAAATACTTCTACTCACACACACACACACTGTAAGCTTTAAACATGCATATTCACGCGATTACGCAACTGTCAACCCATCTGTGTTGCCATGGCACTGAGCTGATGAAAAGGACAAAGGATAGAGCGAGAGTACAGAGAGAGGGTGGGAGGAGACGTGGGAGAGATGGAGTGTTTTCTACGACGTATCACCCAGGTTTACATGATGTTAGAAATAAAAAAACAAAACAATTGGACTGTGCTAGCCAGACTGGAACTGGACCTTAAAAACAGTTTGTCCAACTGAAATAGACGAAGAATCAAATCGCGCAAACCTTGTAAAGGACTCGACTGGACTAGAAGAGACTCTGAAAGACCAGGTGAGACTGAACAGGACTAGACCAGACTAGTCTGGACCAGATTTGACCTGACAGGGAGAGATGCTTCTAGACCAAACAAGACTGAACAAGTCTAGACCAGATCAGACTTGACAAGACTAGACTCAACAAGATGAGGCAAGACTCGACTCCACTAGACAAGTCTAGATGAGATCAGACTTGATGTGAAGAGTTCAGACTAGACTGGACCAAACTGGAAGAGACTAGTATAGTCAAGACTAGACTTGATGAGGTTAAGGGACCAGGGCTGTGTTGGATTCATAGAAAAACAACTGTCAAATGTGTATTAAACAATGAAATATTAGGTTTCATTTCAGTTTTTTTTTTTTTCGTTTGTCTCCAGGTATCGCATGAATTTGCCATCAACTTTAACCCCACCAACCCGTTTTGTTCAGGTAAGACATAAAAGCAGCCACTGACGGAGAAGTAGGCTGCCTTACCTCAAAAAGTCACTGGTCATACCATGACACTACACACTCCGGTACAGTAGGGGGCAGTATGTGCCTAAAAACATTGGTTGTGACCCACTATTAAACCCAGACGTCAGGTCCCCACGTAGGCTAAGAGACGTTCAGGTGTTGGAACAGAACGTGGGAAGAACTTGTTCCTCAGACACCAGCAGTGTTCTCCAGTAAAGAAAGGAACTCTTTCCAGTTCCTGTTTTTTATCTCCTTTTGTTGTTTCGTATAAATATCGTAAAAATCATAAGCAGAAAATTGCGAATCATATCACAAGTCGAGCACAATACATGGAGGAACAACCTGACACCGTGTGTCGGTGAGGACAGGAGTTGGTGTCCAGACCTGGTGACAGCAGCAGATGTCCTCCTCCTCTGTGAGCATCTCACAGAGTAAATAACACCTTCACACTTCACCTACACTTTCAGCTGCAGACGTTTGTCTGAGTCTGAGTCTGAAATATCTGACAGTTCACACTGACGGAAACGTCCACAACACTCGATTCTGTGACTGTTTATTACACAGCAAAGGATTGTTTCATTCATTTTCACTCTGGGTTTTTGTTTTGTTTTTTTTTTACAATATTTTTATAATACAAGAAACCTATGAAAGTGCTACAGTAGAGTCCAGTTCTAGTTCAGCATCGCTTAGTTTACCACTCCTAGGTCATGGTTACCAGGTGATCTTTCTCTAGAAGTTACCTGTTTGTTTGTGAACTTCCACTCTTTTTATTTATTTATTTTTTATTTTTTTGAATCACAAAACTATCACATGTCACCACCAGAGAAGTGAAGGTGTTGGACTGGCTCCTAATGAGCAGCAGGTCACTGTGTAACATCTGCTGTCAATCACAGCACAGCCTCAGTCTGAGTCACACAGACAGACACGCTGATGACGTCATCGCGGTCCCAGAGGAAGAGTCTGTCTGCTGTACCTGCAGCGGGACGCTGCCACGAAATACTTGGTTCGAGTTTTTAAAAAGTACAGGAGTCAAATTTAGAACTTATCCCCGCAGCGAAAGTACTTCCAGAGAACTTTTGTACATTAGGACATTTGTACAGCGAGAGGATTCTGTAACTCAGGATTAACATATATATATATGCATATATGTATATTTATATGTATATATATATATTTGCATCTGTTTACAATTATATTCACAAAGACTTTTGCACAACACTGCCCGGTGCAGACGGTTGATGCTCGCTGTCCTTGTGGTTCTCCAGGTGTAGATGGCATCGCCCAGGCCTACTCCGCCTGTCTCCCCCACATCCGCTTCTACGGACCCACAAACTTTGCTCCCATCATCAACCATGTAGCCCGCTTTGCGGCCCAGGCCCTCCAGCAGGAGAAGGCAGCGGTGAGTTGTCGTATTCGCGGCAGTGAAAATGCTAACTTTTAGCTAATTCTGTTGAGATCATTTTAGTAAAAGTAAAAGTGACGTCAGGACTTGTTTATCTGATCACATGGTTTTCACACACACTGTGGACTATTTCCTGCGTTTGTGCAAGATCGCCCCCTGCTGGACATACTTTCACTTGCAGTAATTACCCTGGTCATGTGGTTTTACTGATCAGAGGAGACAAATACTCCTGGTTACACACTGGTAGTAGAACAGCAGTGAGTAGTGAGTACGTGTCAGGGCGACTTGTACTTGGACTGTGATTTATCTTCTCTGTGAAGCAGCTTCTGACGGGGAAAATGAGTGTGTGTGTGTGTGTGTGCATCTGTTGACTGGGGCTTCCAAGTGTGTTAACCAGAGTGTCCATCAGGGCGGAGGTGGGTGATAGACTGGAGTGACAACTTCTTTGTGACATCCTCCGTCCTTACACCCGTCTGCAGCTGAGACGGCGCCGGGGCTTTAACACATCTACAGGCAGAGCGGCGTGATATCTGGAGGCGTGCTGCGTTTTCATGATGGATGAAGGGCTGGATGTGAGTCCGTCGGGCTGAAATACACAGTTCACCACTTGGTACTGAGTCAGGACGGACCTGTTTGAGGCGGTTGTGGAAGCGGACTTGGGTCAGGAAGGTTTCGGGATCGCCTGACGTTAGGAACTAAAACCAGTTCAGACCAGATCTCTGTTTCTCCAATGGCTCGGACCAGTTCTGTCATTACATGACCGGTATGTGCCGGGACCCGGAGCCACCCTTTGATCACAGCTGTGTTAAAGCAGGGTTAACTTCCCACCACAGCAGCTGCAGTTGGAACATTTTGACTAAACTCGTTCTAAAAATGACGTTCTCTCAGGGGTCAAAGGTCGGTGTCAGTGTGAGTGTGTGTGTGTGTGAAACACTGCAGATTCACAAACTTTCAGCCTATTGTAGCAGATGTTCTCCTCTGGAGCCTGTGCAGCAGCAGCAGCTCATGGACAGTGCTTTTTGTTCATAATTGTACCCTGTCACCCTGCCGAGAACAAACACACAAAGGCTTGGAAGTGTGTGTGTGTGTTCTTTTTTCTTCTGCGAGGAAACGACTGCAGACGCGTTCTCTTCTTATTAGAATACAGTGTTCAAATTTGGGGGAGGGGGGGGGCAAGGGTTAGGAGTTAACACACAATAAGACGTGACAGGAGCTGGAGGGGGGTGGGTGTGTGTGGGG